TGTGACGAAGCAGCAGCTGGGAAGAAGAAGCTGGTGTGGGAGTCTGTGTGTCAGACAGGGTACTACTGTGTGTCAGAGTACCAACCTGATAGGTTCAGGTGTCTGTTGGTTAGCCAGAACTGATAGGTTCAGGGTCTGTGCTTCAAGTTAAGTGTTCTGTGTGAACCAAACTGTGTGCATGTATGAATGAGACTGGTAAATATGTATGAGTTGAGTCACCTTCAGAGTCAATTCCTAGTGCTGCTCTGCTGGAAAGTAGTGCTGCTGCTGAGGTGGGGAACAAGATCGGTACCGACTATAATAGGGGTGAGTGTAAGGGTTCATCTACACAAATCGGTACCGACTATAATAGGGGTGAGTGTAAGGGTTCTATCCATCTACACAACATAGGCCCAAATGTAGCCAGGGAAGATATTTCCATCAAGACTAGATTAGTACAAGTCATCTGAAGTTGGAGGTTTTAGCTATGCATAGTGCTGAAGAGGATGATGAACATTCTTATGAGGATGTTTGAACACAAATCTCACCCCCAAGATAGAATCAACACCAAAGACATAAACAGAGGATCAATGTGAGAATGGCATGCAACCCAGAGGAGTCTTCACCAATGTTGACACCAAGAGACAGAGAGGCATATGTACCAAAGGAACTAAGTGAACATGAAGCAAGTGTAAAGACATAGCTGTACCTGAAGTTTAAGTTGAAGGGGCAATGACAGCAAAAACAAGGCAAGTAGAGGGAGAAGTCAAGTGTGAGGTCAGGTTGGGGTAGATAGTTGAAACCAGGAGAAACAATGGAGAAGCTGGATCCATGAAGCAGGAGCTGATACAGTGGACCCTCGACTTACAGACTGCTCGACTTACAGACTTTTTGAGTTACAGACTTCTCTGGCAGCAAAATTTAGATTCGACTTGCAGCCAGAGAATCGACTTACAGACCAGAAAAAAAACCAAAATGGAATAAAAATAGAATAAAAACCACTGGTTATGGGATTAATCGGTTTTCAGTGCATTATAGGTCAATGGAGATTCGACTTACAGACTTTTCGACTTGCAGCGACCATTCCAATACGGATTAATTCCTTAAGTAGAGGGTCCACTGTATTGAAGTCAGGTCAGTATGCAAAGTTGGGACCAAAGAAAATAAATGAGATGGTTTAGAAGTGTTAAGCTTCTTACATTTAACCCTCTTGGCCTCCTTGACACAAGAAATGGTGTTAGATTTAGAGGTTTGCTTCTTCATATTCAAAGGGGAGGGATTCCTCCCTAGAGTGGATTAAGGGGATCCAGAAGCAGAAGGTGGTTCCAATAAATAATAGGACGTTCTGGCAAACGTTTGAAAAGCCTGATTCTGGGCTGCTTGTTTGGCCACCTGCAGTAACTTCTCCCACAGAAGCTATCTCAACTTAGATTAACAGAATTTAAGACCCTGTTTCACAATTCTGTGGCAGATGGAACAAAGTGAGAAAAGTTTGGATTCTCCACAACAGGAAGAGCCATTTGGTGTAGTTTTTAAAAAGAGATGTAAGGCTGCAAGAGTGGGCAGAGCCCACCCAGAAAAGAAAGGAAAATAAGCATACAACTTGAGGAGAATAAAAGAGTAGGAATAAGAATATAACAGAAATATGAAATAGATGACGAAGAGCGGGATGATGATGCTTAGCAATAAGAGGAGTGTTCCAAGGATGTCACTCCAGTGGCAGATAAAGAACTGAGAGGCTTGAGATGAGGCACAAGAAGTCATGTGCAGAAGGGTGCACTGAAGTTTCCCACCTAGTGGTTCTGAAATGGTTTTGAGCAGGAAGGGTCACTAAAACTAGTAGCATGTCTAGTTGCATGAACATGGGGTAAGTTCATCTAGTTCTTTGTCTTTATGATTTTTCAGCAGATCATCTCTACTGGAGCTTTAAACTATTTCAGACATTCTATTCCTATAGCATTGGTTTACACATGGGCATCTATGGGGGGAGTGCTTCCTTGCTATCTACCTTTTTTTTAAAAAAAGTAACAAAGGTATCATCTTTGGTGAGTTTACCTTTTGGTCAAACAGGTACAGTAATTTATGTTACACCATTAGGGACATCTTTTTGTCAAATTACTTTTGGATTCTTTGACTACTTACTACGAAAATTTCAGATTCTCATCAGATAGAAGAAAACTGATGAAACAGTCCATTTTTTTCTTACATTCCATTTTGATTAATTGTCTATTTTTTCAAGTAAACTATGGATTCACAAATTCACTGAAGGTGCCTTCTGTATAATACCCACTGTATAATATTCCAAATCAACATTAAAATGAACATTATGTCAATAGTGTGTACCAACTACCTTTACATGTGATGACGCCATTCAGTTGGTAAATGCTGCAGTCTAGCTTAGGGAGTTGAAACGAACCTGAAAATAAACCTGAAAACCAGTTCAGAGAGTGTTGTTTCAGAGAACAGAGGTGACTCCAACTCCAGATGATGTACTTAATATAATCATTTTTTCTGATAAATAACTGGTTCAGATGTTAAACCTGAATTAATTTTCAGGTGATAATTCCAAGAGATGGAGAACATAGTCATTTTTAGATCTATTTGTAGATTGGTTTCTGGTGTCCTCTGAGCAACAACAGCAAATCTTTCCACTCTGGAAACACCTTTGGAGTCCTTCCAGCATGAATGAAGAAGATTTCTTCCTCCACTGTTTTCTTAATTAATGATTCATTCACACAGGAGTAACATTAAAAAGTGACATGAGAAGATCTGGATTTGGATTCCTGCACTGATCAGGGGGTTGGACTCAGCAGCCTTATAGCGCCCTTCTAACTCAATTAAATCTATGATTCTAAGAGAAAACAATAAGAACTTAACAAACATGTTAATACAATCTGTGTACCTAGTACACTCAATAATCCTAACTACTATAGGCTGGATTCCGAAGTCTCCATCTATGAATGGGATTCTCCATCTATCTGTGGAGACAAGTCAGATCCAGTGAAGACATCCCACTTCAGAAAGGGTGTGGTTTTAATAATGGTCTATAAAAATAGGAGTTCCTGGTATGCGTTCCCCTATTTTTTCTTGTATATTCAGTGCAGTTAGGCCATCCCTATTTTCATTCACATATATTTGGAAAAGCACTATCCATTGCCTTTTGAGAATTAGCAAACATATTCAATATAGCAATTCAATTTAATTGAAAATGCAGGTTGAAGACCAGGCTAAATACTGTTCATAACATAGCTGCTATTCATAAAAACATCAGCCACAATATTCAAAGATAAAATGCATCTTTTCAAATAGTTCAAAGAAATCATGGCAAGAGAATTACAACGCCGAATCAGATGGTACTTTAATCTTCTTCATAAGAGACTTCCTACTCTAGTCCCACGAAACAACTTCTAACTTTGCATGGTGTTCAGAACTTTGAGGAATGGGAGACCTTTCAGGATTTGCAACAGCCCTTTCTCCCCTCTTAACAATGTGTCTGACAACTAATGGAGGAGGGCTACATATTGCTGTCAAATATGCCAATTATGAAGTTACAAAGTCTAATAAAGTATTTCCAATACAGACCCCAAAGTGACTCCCCACAAGGAGACACATTGAACCATGAACAATATTAGCAATTTTAAGTACCACTAGATGTCTCTAACTGAAGATGAGATAACAAAAAGTGTGGAGGGTTAGATATGAGAATGTCCCATGGTTCAGCAAAATAATGTCATGGAGCTCTGAAAGTAAGGATGTAGTTGCATACTTTCGAGGTAGCAAATAAATAGGAATTATCTGGGCAAGTTATCGTGAAAGTAAAAAAATGTATGATAATTATGTTTTGAGTATCACTGGTTACTCTTTCATTGAGAACATTTGTTTGGAAGCAGGTTATAATCTCCTACCTGGTCTCTATTACTTTCATAGTTGGAACAATGAAAATAAAGTAATTGTACACAAGAGTTCCAGGCACTTTTTCCCTTACAGAAAATCACTGGGCCTCTTCATCTTAATATATCTGGAACTATGTTTTAATTTTATTAATATGAAAATACCTTCTGTGTTCTGTACTTAGTTTTCTATAAGCTAGTAACTTCATCTTACACTGTTATTTATTTAAGAATGAAGAAGAGAAAAAAAAGTCCAATCTCAATTTTTTTAAAATCCAGAGAATAGTTTAATTCTGCATTTTTAATTGAGAATGTTGCTCTACTTTATAGTGACATTTTGTTGAGGTTACCTCAGACTATGCTCAGCTGAATGCCCAGTCTTGAGCTAATGAAAAACAGAAAGCATATTTTGAGAAAAGCCTCAACAAAGACATAATTAGTCACACTGCTCTCTCACTCTGAGTTGAGGATAAAGATCAATAGTACCCTCTCCCCCATGCAGTTTTAAAGACATGCCATACAGGAAAGAGATAACAAAGAGGAATGTCGCATCTCACTTTGGGCAAAGCTCAACAGAAATAATACTCTTCTGTCCACAGCAGGTACTGCAAATGCAGCAAATAAAAGAAGGAAAATGACTCTTAAGAGAAAATGCCAGTCGGGCTAAAGAAAACTAAGATTACAGAGTTAGCTGATGGTCCTCACATCTGAGAGCTTTAGCAAATGTACACCTGAAAGCTATACTGCGTACTACAAATCATTTAAATTTTACATGGTCTGGAACAGTGGTTTTATGTCACTTTTATTTGTGGATTTGGAGGCATTCAACAAAAATGTTGGATATCTGGTATTGCATTAAAGATTAAGGATCATGTAATAATTTTTACATTTTTTCTATTTTCTTTTGTCATGAAGATTTATATAATATTGATTTTTACCAGAATTACTACCGTATTACTTTCTTGAGCTTATGTGGTACATGGTATGAGTTTAACAGATTAAAGGTGGGGAAAAAAAAAAAAAAAAAAAAAAAACCCTGCAACACATATAATATTCATATTACATATTTTTTTCTATTTTAATACTTCGTCAGAATCCTAATGGCAATTTATACATGCATAAGTGAAATTATGTCAGTCAATGTACAAATTGCCACTAATTAATGATGTTGTGACTGTAATGATGTTGTCACAAATCTGAGACCTCATTAATCAATGGCAACACCAGAACTGAAGCAATTTCACTAATTTAATGCACATGAAAATTGAGATCAGGATTCTATCCTTCATATCATAACAGTATCTATTACTTTTGATCTACCAAGGAGAGCTACACTGAACCCTCGATGTACGAAGGACTCGACGTGCGTACTTTTCGGGGTACAGACTTCTCCAGCTGCAAAATTTCCAATCGACTTGTGGCCGGAGAATCGATCTACGGACCGGAAGGGGGAGGCGGGGAAAGAGGCAAATTCAAATTTGGTGCTTTCCTTGCCTCCCTCTTCCAGTCCATAGGCCGCCGATAGTGCCTCCAGATGCCTTCCAGGGCTTCTCCGCCACCATGGGAGGCATCTCGGAGGTCCCCCCAACGCCGATCGTGCCTCCGAAGCACGATCGGCGGTGGCGGCAGGACCTCCGCAGGCCTTCCCTGCCGCCACGGGAGGCCTCTCCCCCTGCCCCCACAGGCTTTCCCAGGGTGGGCTGGGCCTACCAGGGGAGGGCTTCCCCTGGTAGGCCCAGTCTAGTGCCCGGGAAAGCCTGGTAGACCGGGCCTACCACGGAGGGCTTCCCCCGGTAGGCCGGTCTACTCCGGCAGCAGCGGGGAAGCCCTAAGAGGCCTCGGGCAGCAGCGATGGTGGCAGCAAGGGAACTCCGAGAGGCCTCCAGCAGAGGTGGAAAGCCCTCAGAGGCCTCGGGAAGTGGCAATGGCAGTGGTGGTGGGGGCCCTGGAAGGCTTCATAAAGGTAAGGGCTATTTATTTTCACTTTTGTGTGTGTGTGGTGTGGTTTCTTGGGCCGGTTACAGATTAAATGGTTTTCAATGCATTCCTATGGGAAATGCATATTCGACCTATGGCCACCATTCCAATACGGATTAATTCCGTAGGTCAAGGGTCCACTGTACTATGCCTAATGTATTATTTGGAAGTGAAACAACAGTTAACCAATTTCTTTTTTAGTATGCTGCTTGTATAACAACAACAAAAATATCTAGAAGACATTGAGACTTACCTGACCAGTGTCCAGTGGTGCTTCCTGATCTGTCAGTGCATGTCTCACTCACTGGCCTGAAAACCGTCTCCCAACCTCCAGTAGCATAGCGCCAGTTCTGCGATTCCAAAATTAGCGTCCTTTGAGTGCCATAAGCAATCATGAAGCAGTAAACTACATGATGAAGTTGACAACCATAACCACAGCCTTTGTTGATATTACACACTAATTTCTTGGCTTTGCTGCAATCCTTAGGGTTCTATAAATAATAAAGTAGACATGGAAAATTATAGTTACAAAAGGATCTTTGCTATCAGAATAAATGAGAAATAAATCATATACAAGTGCTGACAGTTCACACGCAGATAAGAAGCAGACTTCTGCTCCCTTGCACTTTCACGCACATTTTTTTACTAACTTAGTAAAAACTAAAATGCTTTCAGGATTTTAAATTTGTTGAGGTATTGGTGGGAAGAGGTAGAGAAAGATTTTTTAGCATTGAATAATGAAAGCATCTCCTAGTAAGCTGTGACCCTGACTTGCTAGTGAAGAATACCTTTAACATTCGTTGTTTTTCTGAGTGGTGAAGAGACCCACAGTTAGTTGGCACCACTGGTTTTAGATTTCACTGAAGCCGTCTCCCATTCATGATCCTGAGCTACCTGTCTGCTAATTAATTGTTTTCCTCTGCCACATGGATGGCCATTGTCAAGATGTGGCACAGACGGCGCCACTCCAAAAAGTTGGCTGTTAGAAGCAAAAGAAACATGGAATGCATTCCATCCTGGTTGTTTATATACGTATTACATCATGGTGGTGGTGTCAGTAGACACTTTCACTACTTTGCTTGAAATCATTGTTTCAAATGCTTTGAGGGCCTTCATTACTTCAAGCAGCTGGAATTCATTTATGTACATGGATTCTTTCTTTCTTGGACCACAGGACGTGGATTTGATTATCTATACATGGGTGCCCCAGTCTCTGAGATTTGTATAAGTTATCACATGAATCTTGAGCCTGAGATAATTGAATGGCCTTCCCATGGTTAGACTGGATACTATGGCCCACCACAGGAGCTGTCATCCTACTTCAAGAGTCATACAGATCAAGTTCAACATTTTGACAATCACATACAGAGCCTTCCATGGTTTGGGCCCATATTACTTGTTGGAGCATCTTTCATTAATGTCATCTACCCCAGAGGTCCCCAACCCCCGGTCCGTGACCCAGCAGTGGTCCGTGGCCTATCCAGAACCGGGCCGTGGACACAGATCTCCTACCTCCTTGCAAGCGGTCACACGCATGCACGTGAGCACGTTCCTCCAAGTGCGATGTGTGCATGCATGTGAGTGCCCCCCACTCAAGTGCAATATGCACATGAGCGCATTCCACCCCTGCGAGTGCGATGTGTGCATGTGCGTGAGTGCCCCCTGCAAGCACACTGTGTGACTGTGCATGAGCGCAATGTGTGTGAGCGAGCGCTGTCCCCCTGTGGGCACGCCAGGGCCCCCCAACCGGTCCGCAGTTGGGAAAAAGTTGGGGACCACTGATCTACCTGACCCGCAAGCTAATTCCATTTGAGGCTCCTCTGGGTGGCCTCTATAAGAAGAAGGGTCTTCTTTGGGGTGGCTCCAACTTTATGGAACCAGCTTCTGGAGGAGCTCCACCTAGCCCCCTCCCTGTGGACATTTAGGAAGCAATTAAGACACTGTTTCTCTGGGAAGCTTTCCACATCAACCCCAACTGACTACCACCATCTTTTTCTTTCCCCTCGTCTTCTTCCCTCCTCTCTTTTCCTCCATCTGCTCTGGGATTAGTCAGTGCCATCTGTTTTTTTTTTTAAGGGTTATTGCTGTTTGTTTGAATGTCTCTATTTTTATTTTCTGTTTTACATGCTGTAACCTGCCCAGAGTAGTGTTGTTATACTAATTGGAGTGGGATACTAAATAAACAAATAAAGAAATAAATAACCAACCAACCGAGATATTGGAGTTGTTCTCTGTCACTATAGCAAAGGAAGCCAGATACCAGGCCTGGAGCACCCTCATCTTCAAGTGTGCACATGGGATCACTGCAATTGTTGATGCCATGAGGCCAAGAATCCTCTGAGTCACATATGCAGGAAGTCTTGCATTTGGTCTGAATTTCTTTATCAGAGTTAGCAGTTTTTTCATCTTGTCTTAAGGTAAGTAGGCTGGAGTCCAGAAGCACGCTGACATAATGAACTATCTGATGTAGTTTTAAAATTGATTTTTTCCAGATTCACTTGAAGACTCAGATCTGCCAGAAGACATGTTCCACTTTAACCCTTGCCGAGTCTGAGGTAAACAGCTTCTGGTGCCATACACTTCATGAAAACTCTGGGTGCTCTATAGAGACTGGAAAGCATCACTTTCAACAGGTAGATGTCATTGCCCAAAGCAAAACACAGGGAAGGGCAATGACTGGAACAGATAGTGATATAGAGTTGAGGTCTATTACAACAAATCAGTCTCCCTTCTTGAATAGTGTAGTATTTTTTTTCTAGCATTACCATTCTGAACTTTTTGGTGTCTATGTAAGAGTTAACATCTTTCAGATCCAAAGTAAGTTTCAGACCTCTGTCCTTCTTTGGGACGATAAAAGAGCAGGAACAGAGCTTGGTGGAAAGCGTATCTGGTAGGACAAATTGGATAGGATCCTTTCTCAGAAGTGTAGCTATTTCTTCCTTCAGTACCTTGAGAAATGTAGGGAACAACGACAGCCAGTCTTTGTGGCCTTCATAGATCTCACAAAGGCTTTGATTTGGTTAGCAGAGAAGGCCTTTCTAAAATACTTCCCAAGATTGGATGTCCACCTCGACTCCTTAACATCATCAGCTCCTTTCATGAGGAAATGAAGGGCACTGTAGGCATGAAGATGGCTCAACGTCAGATCCCTCTGACATCCGAAGCGGAGTGAAAAAAGGCTGTGTCCTCGTGCTGACTCTGTTTGGGATCTTTTTTGCTGTCATGTTGAAGCATGCCTTTGGAACTGCAACAGAAGGTGTCTATCTCCGACTAGACCAGATGGAAAGCTCTTTAATCTCTTGAGACTGAGAGCAAAGACCAAAGCCCAGTTGAAATGCATGCAGGACTTTCTCTTTGCTGATGATGCAGCTGTTGTTGCCCATTCTGCTGAAGACCTCCAACAACTTATGAATCGTTTTAGTAAGGCCTGCGAAGACTTTGGACTAACAATCAGCCTGAAGAAAACACAAGTAATGGGCTAGAGTGTGGACTCACTTCCTTCTATTACCATCTCTACACAAGAATTGGAGGTTGTTCATGATTTCGTGTACCTTGGCTCAATGATCTCTGACATTATCTCTCTAGATGTTGAGCTGGATAAACACATTGGTAAAGCAGCTACTATGTTTTTTTAAACTCACAAAGGTAGTACGGCTTAATAAGAAGCTGACGGCATATACCATGATTCAGGTCTATATAGCTTGTGTCCTGAGCATACTCCTGTACTGCAGTGAGTCCTGGACCTTTTGTGCATGGCAGGAGAGGAAGTTGAACACGTTCCATATCCGTTGTCTCCTATGAATTTTTGGTATCACCTGGCAGGACAAAGTTCCAAATAGAATAGCCCTAGAACAAGCTGGAATTTTTAGCATGTATACTGAAACAGCGACGTCTACGTTGGCTTGGGCATGTCATGAGAATGGCTGACAGTTGGATTCCAAAAGATCTCCTGTATGGAGAATTAGTGTAGGGAAAGCACCCCAGAGGGAGACCACAGTTGCGATACAAGGATATCTGCAAGCGGGATTTGAAGGCCTTAGGAATGGACTTCAACAGATGGGAAATTTTGACATCCAACTGTTCAGCCTGGAGGCAGGCAGTGCAGCATGGCCTCTCCCAATTTGAAGAGACACTTGTTCAGAAGGCTGAGGCAAAGAGGCAGGCCGGAAACCAGCAAAATCAGGGAGCTGGACAGAGGACAGATTGTATTTGTCTTTGGTGTGGAAGGGATTGTCTCTCTTGAATTGGCCTTCTCAGCCACACCAGACACTGTTCCAAGACCTCTCTTCAGAGTACGTTACCGTAGTCTCTTGAGACTGAAGGATGCCTACAAAATGTATTCTTGAAAGCTTTCATGGCTGGGATCCGATGGTTGTTGTGGGTTTTCCGGGCTGTTAAGAACACGGCCAAACAGCCTGGAAAACTCACAACAACCATGCCTACAAAACCTTGAGATGGTGCTGTAAGTCTGAAAAGACTTTTACAGGGAGATACATAAATTCTATGGCATACACCTGTTTGAAGATAGTTAAACCCCATTCATTGTTGATGATGGTGCACCAGATGTTGAGGAATGATGCTAAGAATTTTATGTTGTCTTGCAAAGAAGGGTCAATGGCATGAGGATCTTGGTCCATACATAGTAAAAGATTCTTCTTTGATTTCTTTCTGTGGCATTTGGTAAAAGTTGTTTGTATTTTTGGCACTGGGACTGTTGTCTGTAGGCATGAAGATGAGGAAGGTGGAAGGTTTTGTCAGTCAGACTGAAATCTAGGTGAGGAGAATGGACATGGCCTTTTCTGATAAGGTCTGTACTGTCACTGTTGGTATTAGGTATAAAAGTCCATCCTTTTAGCAGTATTTCTTTTAGTGTGAATTATTTTATATATTTTTATTATTATTAGAGAATTCTTCTTTGTCACAGGGTATATCTTATTTTCTGGCCCCTAGATTCTTAGAGAGGTCAGATGAGCGGAACCAGGCATACTGTTGTAGAGCAACTGCTGCAGATAATTTTTTGCAGCATAGTCAGTTGCATAATGTACTGAATGTATTTGTTGTGTGGCAATGGCATTTAGTTGTATGGTGATGTCCAGACAGCACAGAAGATTGGAGCAGTGTTGGAAACTGTGTTTATGCAAAGCCGACCTGGTCGACAATTGGAAAGCTGAAGAGGACAACAAAACAGTGTGTTCTTTGCATTGATTCCAAGGCTCTTTGTTCCTGGAGTGTCTCCTTGATCGTGTGTTGACTGCTTGAGCATCTTATGCAAGGCAACAAGTGCAGGAGATTTCAACATCAGGTGGGGATTCTGCATTGGATATAACTTTGAAACTGGCCATTCCTTCCTGAGGGACTGGCAGCTTAGGAGCCAGGTCTTTGCAGCTCTGTATCAATGCCCTCAATTCTGAATGTGTCTGCTCCATTGCCTTCAGTATGTAGGCAATAAGACATGAAGGGATACCACTGAATACCCCTGAAAAGGCTAGTA